CAACGTTCATCTCAGAGGGCATCCGCTGAAGTTGGCACACCAAAAGAGCCGTCTCGACTGCAGACGTCACTCGTTTGCAGTCAGAGTGTGCAGCACATGGAACTCTCTACCAGCTCACGTTGTCTGTGCCCCAACATTAGTATCATTCAAGCGTCAGCTTGATGATGCCCTGGCAAACATTATGTTTCAACACCCAACTACATAACCTATTCTCCTGTGCTCGTGAAAACATTAGTTTACTACTTTACCTTCATGGACTAACTGTGATATTGTGATTCTTTATCTGAACCAAAGTGTAAACACCCTATGGGATTTGTAAAAGCGAAGTCTTTGTAAGTTATATCCCATAATAAAAATTTGAATTTGACCCGAACGGATACTTCAGATAAACGTTTTCTAACCCCTTAAGGTGAATCACTCAACGACTTGAGGGCATAGCTATTTAACATGATTCATTTAACGAAGCTTTTTATTCATTTTTCTCCTCTGACATGATTTTTCCTCTCTCTCTCTCTTACTTTGACATGTGTTAGGTCACTGGAACGGAGAGCAGTCCACTCGGTGCTCACCGAACAGCGTTTTTGCATTTGCTTCTGGATTTGGCCAATTATGCTGTTCACGTGCCCAAACCGGACATTCGGACCGGATTTCTGGTTCCTGGGACCGGTCGGGTATGTTACTTTCTTCGTGTCATTGAATAAACTTACTAAACAAGAAGGTTTAAGTTCAGGGGATACTGCTTGATCTGAAGTTGAGCCGTTTCTCTGTAGCTAAGTTACGCGTATTCGTCAGCAGTTTACAACGATTTTTTAATATTTTATCGGTTAACTGTTAGGATTGTTTGACGCACAACTAACTGTGTTCCCATTGGGTAACAGTTTCATCAATCAATATTTTCATTTTTTTAATTCTATCTTTGATCAGTTGGATGTGTGATACCGATTGAACTTTATCAGATTTAAGTCATGATTATTTTGTAATCCTAAGATAGATCCGCCTGTTCGGGTGCAAACAGTCGTTAGTTAAGTTTCCATCACTATGGGACATCAGTTTGTTGTTGCGTAGGATTTGAGTGACATTCAAACAGAATGACACAATTTATGTCGATTCTATCTAACTGATCGGGTGTGTAATTTTCGTCACTTCACTTGGTGTGGCGTAGTTCATTAGCTGTTTTTTGTCCACACTATCAACTATGTCCACATTCATCTGATGTAAAATTCTGTTTGATCTCTCTTTGTGTTCGGTCCTTACATTCTCTCTTTCCTGGCCTCATTATCCTTGCGCTTCAACACGATATCTGAGAAGCTATATCTCACCTGGCGGACGCATCACAGATGAAGTGTCGGCGCGCCTACAAAAAGGCTCGGTTGACCTTTGGCACCTTGAGACATTTGTGGTGCGTAGCGACATCCGGCTGTCTATGAAGGATCGAGTATATGCTGCAACAGTTCGGCCAGTGCTGCTATACGGTGCAGAGACTTGACCACTACGGGAAGAATATAAATATAGACTGTCGATGTTTGAACACTACTGTCTACGTAGCATTGCACGAGTCTGGTGGGGAAACCGAACGAGAGATGCCGAGGTTAGGCGTAGATTTTTGGGTTTTCGAGGTCGCCCACTTGAGCAAGTGGTCGACCTTCATAGATTACGCTAGTTGAGACATTTGCTACGCATGTCACCAGATAGGTTGCCACGGCGAGCGATGTTTGCCGAGGTAGACTGCGGTTGGAAAAAGATCAAGGTTGATCAAACTTAGACCTGGCATGAGGATATGAACCCCTGACCAAGAGACTGGCTCACATAGGTCCCGTTAGGCCCCTCGTCTGGGGACCCCGAGATCATAGTCACCGACGGTTAGAGACACTGAACGAAATAGCTGAGTGTCGCTAATAGTGGCGATCATGCATCTATTCATTATTCTTTCAACTTCAGTCTATATAAACGCTCTATCTTCCGCTTGAATCTGCTGTCATCATTCTAATCTTCAAACTTCTGTTTTATCCAAATGGGCAACCAAAAGACAGCAACCAAAACTGGCGCACGAAAGTGCATCGTTAATGGTTGTTAGAACTGAACTGAACTGAAAAAGAATATTCTGGTATTCGTAGCGTCAAATGCATGAATATGCTTCAAAAATGTAGATTCTGTCTATTACTGGAGACAGATTATACTCCGACCAACAGTCGTCTACGGACCAATCGTTGAGGTTTTTTTCTGATGATCTAAGCGTTGGCTGAGGAACGTGTAGTACGAGAGGAGGCTGATTCAAAACACATATAATAGAAGTTCAACAGATGCGCTGTCAAAATGTCTTACATCCCTGAGTTGAACTGCATCATGAACCTTATTTGTGAGTGCCCTGAAGTAAACGATCTGTGAAGCGCACGGCTCGCTTATTCACAATCAACAGCGACGTCTTGCACGCTGAACGGACCACTTCAAAGCACAGTTTAGCTGACCATCAGCGTCAGCTTCTCGCATACCTATTCCGGCACACGTTTCATCGTCTGTCTGAACAGACCCACCTTCTGAGGCGGGAGTCCGTAAGAAAATCCAAGCCTTGGGACGTCACAAAGCGCCGGGCTCCGATGGCCTTCTCCTGGCTCTATTTAAAGATGGTGAAATAAAGCTTGTTGGAGAACTACAGATTCTAATGCGATGAAAGTGTTTGTGATAACCAAAAAAGGGCACTGGTCAGCTGTTTCGTCCTGTTTGGGACTCTGAACAATCGAATGGGCTAATCTAAGCTTGATACTCTAAACTATAGATTCTGTTCTCTGAAGTTTAGCACATTGAGCAGGTCCCCTCGTGGGGTGAATCGATAGTCATCCCCATCCGTAAAAACGGCTCGCGCAATGGTTGTGCCATTCGTAGGGGTATAAACCTGATCCCAA